TTTCTTAAAGAAAATCATTCTTATGTTGGCGAGAACCCATTAATGCAGTGATCTTCACGGATCGTGCGCTTTGACTCTCTGTGATCAAAACGATGGCGATGAAAAATATTCATAATCACATGGGATTATGAATGATTTTGAATACAATTTCACAATTTTCATGGCCCAAATCACATTTGCTGATTGAATAATGCAAGAAGATGCAACTCATTTAAGACATCACCCGGAGTGCGCTATCGCCTAACATTCGAAGCTCTCACACGTACGACCAAAGTTTTCATCAGTGCTTTTATTCCGGAACTCAGCAAGCTTTCAATACCATTCAAAATTCAGAACTTAACGGTAATCGTTTCTCGACTATTTACACAACTCTCCAAATTCCAGAAGCATATTCATGTATCGCAGTCGACTCAGCGAACACTCAGTGATCTGATGTTGCACTTTTCATTCGTTCATTTGAATTCATTTTATGAAAGAAGCGATTGAACAGTTGCAAAAATACTTTTTCGACATCAAATTATAATGATTAAAAAACGCTACTGGATGAAATTCTCATGAAAGGCATACCTACCTACTTGACCATCATAACAATGACAATTCCAGCTGAGGTAATCGTAATCGAAAGTGCATTTAGTCACCAAAAAATAGTTCAGAAAATATTTCAGTGTCTATCTGTTACTTCTTTCATCACCATTTACCACTCATCATGATGAGAGGAATTCTTTCTGATAAAAAGTCATATAGCAATCCTTAATGTGCACTGCGGGGAGCATTCAACGGAAGAACTTCAGGTGGATAAAGAATCGTTAGCGATTCGAAGCATTCGATTGGTGAACATCAACGAACCGCGTGACGTCTCCATAGAGCCCTATCAACCGAACGCAATGCTTGTTAAGATAAAGAATTTCGCTCTTTCGTAAGTGTGCAATGTTTCGTTGTTGACTTAATTCGATTAAATGGTCATAGCTGCAAAAACTGGTCAACCCATCAGAAATACATTAACGTAATCAGACAGATCCCAATGAAAGTGAATCGCTATTGTGCAAATCGCATTACGCAATACGATAACTGAATCATTTCTACTAATGATTTATGTCATTGAAAGCTGCTTTTTGCATCAATCTGAAATGTTTATGTGATGTCGAAGGAAAATATTGTAAAAACTGAAATCCAGAATGGAATGCGACTTGAATGGTGTTATGAATGATAAATTACTGGACGGTCGACTACACTTACACTCGAATCGAACATCGATGAATTTGTTGATTCGAATCAGAAAACACCCGACAGCGTTAGCACCAATTATTGATCTCCGAGAGTGTCATACGTATACGGATAATGACTACACTAGCAATAATAGCAGCAATCGTTTGAAGTTAACCACTGAATTTATGCCTTCGAATAGCAATTCAGTTGTTGAGGTAAGCGATTCCGTCAACTTCACGAAGTGAATTTTGTTCAAATTTTTTTCGAAAAATGATTTCAATTCAAATGATTTATGAATAAATTTCCTAATGAATGGTATTTACTTTCTGTTCTTGGAACCGTCGTTTCTCAGGAGTATTGCTGCCGGCCAAGTTTTCTCGAAGTTCTTTTAGCAAGAAATTATTCAAGTAGTTTGAAAGATTGCTTTCAATCTTTCATAAATGAAAATTACTTCAAGTCAAGGAGCCGTACATTGAAATTAACATCTCACAATCGGTGATGAGCCGATATCAGAGCGCAAATTGTAAATGCTTTCTCAAAATGGAATGGAGTAACTCAAACGAGACTACATTCGTTATAGTTCTCAAAAGAACAAGTTTCATGGCAAAATAATCACTGCAATAAATGTTGATTGGTCATTTCAGCCAGTGATATCAGAAAATGCAGAAAATTTCTTCGATTCAGTGCTTTGCACGTATATTGACTGGATCATTGATCGTAAAATCAACAAGCGGTTCGTGCGCACGAGCACATCAGTTTCGCTGGCGAAACTCGCGCAAATCGACCCCAAGCATTCGGCTTTGGCCGCATTGTCGAGGAGATACCATAAGGCACATCATCGTAAAGGGTGATTTCACACTTCAACAAATTATATCTCCACTCAGCCACACATGATTTGAACATGCTTATGAACTTCAGCCCAAACATTATTATTAGGCATTCTATCAGTGGCACCATACATTCTAGATTAGCGGTTCTCATGTTCGGGTGTTCTGTTACTTCTTATGATGATCCGGCAAGGCGCCGTTACCCCCCTTCACCCTGATACAAGAACTTATGTGTTGCTCATTAATGCAGTCGATTATGATTGTATGAAAAACT